CCACTTTAGGCACTGCCTGGGGTCAGCAAGGATGGAATGTTACTTTTAGAAGGGCCTTGAATGATTGGGAATTAGAGAGGGTTGTGGATTTCTTTAATATCTTGGAACAATTCCAAGGTCTTGGAGAAAATGAAGATAAACTCTATTGGAACCTATGTTGCTCGGACTCTCCGAAAATGTGGCCGGATACGTGTCGGATCCTCCAAAAGTAGTGCATTTTTGAAGGATCCGACACGGGTGCGGCTACATTTTGGAGAGTCCGTGCAACATAGGTTGGAACCTTTGTAGGAGTGGGAATTTTACAGTTAAATCCGCATATACTCTAATTGCTACTTCAAACCAACAGTTAGGACAATGGCCATGGAGGTATATTTGGAAAGTAAAGCACCTTTCAAGGTGGTATGCTTTTCATGGTTAGTTGCAAGAAAGGCTTGTCTAGCCCAAGAGGACTTGAGTAGAAGAGGTTTTCAGCTATGCTCTAGATTCCTATTATGTGGTACAACTATAGAAACAAACAACCATTTGTTTCTTCATTGTCCTACTGTAGCAGCTCTTTCTTAATATTGTGGGCATTAAATAGAGCATGCCAGCTAATACTTGTGAGCTATTGAAGTGTTGGAATTACAATGGGGGTATTGTGAGACAGAAGAAATGGTGGCGATTGGTTCCTGCTTGCATTTGGTGGACAGTCTGGAAGGAGAGAAATTTAAGAACTTTCGAAGACAGAAGCAACTCTTTACGGAACATCAAGATGAAGTGTTAACTTTTGTTTCATTTCTGGTGTAAAGAAAGTTGTGTAGAGGAGGCAGAATCTTTAGTAGACCTGTGTAATCTTAGGTTGACATAGCTGGTTTTTGTCTTCCTTGTAAATATGGTTTGGCACTCCCTAGTGCTGTTTTCTTTATTAATATATATGTTACCATTATTAAAAAAATAGAACATTAGATTAATAGTATTTTATTTTTTATTTGAAGTTCGTATTTATTAACTTTCAAATAAAAACAATTTTTGTACATTTAGATGTTAAAAAATAAATAGTCTTAATTATTTAGTATTCAGATCTTAATACACATCTTGATGTTCGTATGTGCATTTTGATTTAGATAGCTTAATCGTAATACATATCTTAAAATTCAGTTGTGCATTAGACTCAAGACGTCTAATCTTAAAAAACTTTCTTTAAATTTAAGTTTTCATGCTATTTAAAAGCTATTTTGTTAAAAGAATTAATTTTCTTTGTTTAATTCATATATGTATTTGTATTTAGTTTATTAGATACTTAAAGAATTTCTAGCTTAATTAACTTACGGAAAATTATTTACTAGTGACAGACCTTTAAGGAGACGTAGAGATCTTTTGAAGGCCAATAAGGAGAATAGAAAAAAACTCTTATGGGGGGCTAGTATATATATTTTAAGAGAGTAATGACTATTCTCTACATATTATTGGTAAAATGGGATTATAGTGTAAATTTGTAAAGCATAATAGAAAGAACTTTCTGTGATTTTTCTTTCCTATTCGTTTGATCTCTCAAAGTCTTTTCCTCCTTCATCTATCAAACACCATTGAAGAGCAAAACGCATACACATGCAACTCTTTTTCCATCATTAAAACCCAAGTTTTAAAACATTAAAACCTATTTGCTTATCTATTGAAGGAAGATTTGGATTTTACCTTCAAGAATCAAGATGAGTCGAGCTTATTTTTGGCTAAGTTGCTCCGACACGGCAGTTAGGTGCCTCACCCGTGTAGACACGACACTAGCATGGGTGTGAGTATGAGATCCATAAACCAATCCTAAAATATGATACGAACCTACTCGAAGCCTCAAATCAGATAAAACAACATTAAAACCATGATCGCACCATGTTTCAAGTCTTAGTGAATAATGAACCTCCAATTTCCAAAACTCATGTTGAAACACATCAAACCAACCCGAAATGACCTCAAATTTTGCATGCAAGTCCCAAATGATACAACAGTCCTATTCCAACTTCTAGAACCATAATTCAAACCTGATATCAACAAAGTTAACTCTTAGGTCAAAACCTATCCAAACCCCCCTAAA